TGGCAAGAGAGCTTTCATGTGCTCTCCTTATAAAGCCACCAGTTTATACCTATGGTAACCCATTAAACCATTAACCCATTATTCTATGAATGGATTAATCCATTCATGAGGGCATAGTCCTTACAATGCAATCACCTTTTAAAGGCCCCATCTTTCAAATACCATAATCAAATTTCTCACCCTCTTAACCCCACTACAGTGGGGATCAAGTTTCTAACACACAAACTTTCGGGAGACATATTGCATCCATAGCAATATCATCGGTTCTGTTTCTCTAGAGAACCCTGAGTAACACAGAATCCATCAGCAACAGTCAAACTAAGTCATCTTAGTAACTTAGTTATGGACTATGGAGCTCTTCTTCAGGAAAATTTTGGGATAATCTCTATTACATTAGGTATGTCAGAAGGTCATGTAATGCAAGAGCCCCTGGAATCTTAGAAAATTCCCTCTTTGAAGTGATACCAAACCAGCCATTCTCCCTTAATGGTCTCTGGAGGTGTCTTCCAACGTGACAGCACTGTGCATATGCTTCCATTCTCTTCCAAGGCTGCGCAGCACTTTCTGTGTGCTGCCCTTGGGTGAGGGAACACTATGTTTAGCACCTTGGCATTTGGCCTTTTCAGATGGTGGCCAGAGTTCAGGCTGAGACAGATGGCAGTATCATTCCCTTTTCTGTTTTTGCTAGAGGGCTGTGATTTACTGGCATCAGAGTTCTTTGGCTCAATGGCAATTGGCCATTGGCATGGCCACTTTCTGTCACCTTCTGTTACCTATTGCCTTATGGAATGTCTTCACAACCTCACTTACACTCGTATCTCTACTCTGTTATCCTGTTCCTTTCCTGAGGAACGCACTTTGGTCCCAGAGTGAATTATGTCAAGTGAATGAGCCTTTCAGAAACTGCTCTGGCTTCTGGAAGATGCAGGTTTCCTGGATAGGCATACTTCAGGTGGGAATCCACAATGGGGCTATAGGCAGAGCTCCAAGCACCTGTTAGGCAACATGCTTTGGGCACACAGCCCATTCCTCAGTTGAGAAGTGAAATGATTTTTACTATAGGGTAGGTACAAAGATAAAATTTCAATCCCTCAGTCTGACATACATTGGTGACTGTTGTGAAGATCTACAATCTACAGTTCTGCACTCGCTAATATAGTAGCCACAAGCCATATGCGGATACTTAAATTTAAGTTAATTTAAATTAAGTAAAATCAAAACTTGAATCCCTCAGTTGCACTACTGATGTATCAAGTGTTCAGTAGCCACAAGTGACTGGTGGCTCATTGAAGAGTGCTGATCTATTTAATGGGGATAATATCATCCACCTCACAGGACTGTGAGGGTAACTACACAAAATATTGCGCCTAAAGTGCTTAGCATGATACCTAACACAGGTACACACTTGATAAATGGGACTTATTATTAACCATAAAATAAAAATTCTCCTAAAAAGGAGTCAGTCTAAGTACCAAATTTAGTACAGGGAAATATCACACAGATATCCCATGGATGAGTATAGTTCTTAGTGATGTCTCTTCCTGAGGCTGGGGTTGCAGGAAGAATTGAGATGGACGAGGAGTCGGGTCTTCTCAGTTTCATTTACTCAGAGCAGTCACAGGCTGTGGCAGAGCCTGATGGTGGGGGAGGGGCCGGAACGTCCTTAAACAAAGAGAGAATGAAGCAGGATGTAAAGGTCTCTACTTCTAACTTTCAGTAGCAAGATGGATGAGATTAATTAATTGTTAGAGGGAGGAAGGACAAGAGGAGGAGGAAGGAAAGGGCAGGTAAAGGGAGGCAGAGGAGGGATGAAAAGTCAAGGGAGAATCATGTCCACAATGGTTTAGCAATTGCATAGGGCATGGAGATTACCCATTGTCTAGAAAAGCCTAGAATGTGGAGATGGCCTAAGGAGCCCTGGTGCCACCTCAGCCATTATATAGTTGCAGCTTAAGAAGCTCCAAACAGACCTCTGGACAGGTGCTGAGCAAGCTGTAGCCTGGGAGGCAACCTTCTGAAAGTAGTGATAGGAAGCAGAGTGTGAGAAGAAAGGCATTTTCCATACTCTCTGCCAACATCCCAGTAGCCCCCCAAATGGTTTCTTCTGACCCACATTTCTCCCTGAAAGTGTTTGCTGAAATTGGCTGAAGGCTGAAGCTGAGATGACGGAACCATGAAAGCCCAAGATTCCTAGAGCACAGACCCTGAGGCTGCTCCCCATGACATCCCTCCCAAATTCGTCACAGTAATACTAGCTAGTGTTTAGTAAGTGCTTACAATGTGCTAGACACTGTTCTCAGTATTGCACTCATTTGTTCCTGAAAATAATAATATGCAGTACAGTTATCAGTTTTAGTCCCATTCTTTTTCACCTAAAAAATGGAAAGAAGGGCAGAACATAGACAGGGAAATCTACTTTAGAGAGAGATTTTTCCTGGTTACCCACATGAGGCAGGAGATTTTATTGGTGCATAATTATTATTAGTGGCAAGGAGGAGCCTAGAATATGACATAAGCTTCTGATGAGGCCTTACAGGGGGTGGTATACTGTGGTGTTAGGAGTTCTGGTGTTAGAGCCAGACTCCAGGGTTCAAATCCCAGCTACACCCTTGTCTAGTTGTATGGCTTTGGGCAGGTCAATCTACTCTGTTTCTGCTTCTCATCTGTGAAATGGGGCTATAACAGTAGTTCATCATAGAGTTATTGTGATTCAATGGGTCAAATCACCTAAAACACCTAAAGCCATGCCTGCCATATGGTCAGCACTATGTGAATGTTAGCCATTACTACCAGGGTAGGGCAGGCTCACTGTGGCTCCTCTTCCAAGGCTCTGTGCAGTCACAGGTACAGCTGTGGCAGCCAAGGACATCACAGCATTGAAGGGATGAGATCATTGGCTTTTTCTTCTGCCATCCTACTTGGGAAACAGGTAAACCCAAGGTTTCTCTATTGCACAAATGAGCTTGAAATCTGCATCAAGCACCTGTAGATAGAGTCATTTATTCATCCATTCACTCATTTATTCACTAATCAAATCCTACCACTCAAATCAATGTGAGGAGAAATGGAGCATGTGGATTCAGGAATCTTAGTTTAAATCCTGGATCTTTCCCTCACTAACTGTGTCACTTTGACCAAGTCACATTACTTGTCTGAACCTCCTCCTTCTATAAAATTGGGAAAGAGCAAAGAAGAAAAAGTAAGAGAAAATACGTGGAAAGCTCTGGAGAGTACTGTACAAATGTAAGTGTTGCCAACTGTGGTAAGAGACACAAAGAAATATGGCATTTAAAAAGAAATGCAGGAATAAGAAATGACCTCCTGGTAAGGTTCAAGTAAGCTTCTGCATAGGGAAAGTAATGGGAAAAACATACTTGGCCCCTGGATGCCTCTATTTTGGGTTCCTGGCATGACTCTGCATGAGTCTGATCATTTCTGTTTGCCTCAGTTTCTCCTTGCCCAAAAGACATCACGAGTTAAGATGTTACTGGAATCAGATAATAAGAAACTCTCAACCCTTTCTAAATAGAAATGTTACAAATTCTTCAACACTATAAATATGGTCTCACATTTATTACTCAGCACCTTGTGAGAAAAAAAATACCACTTTCTAAAAAAACTCAGCTTCTGAAAATAGCAAAGGGGAAAAAATGACCCTTCAAAATTTCTTTAAATAGAATTCTCTGCCTCAGCTTTCCTTAGGAGGTAAAAGCCAGAAGAAGAGAGTCATTGTTGGGGATTTATTGCTGATGGGTGGTAAGATGAACTCTAAAAGGCTGAAACACATCCATATTTCTTACACAGCATTCTAAGCCCCACCTTATCCCCATTAACCCTTCCCTTCCCCAAAGCTACAAATCTGTCCCAATTTAGGGCAAGAGGTTTCACCTCTGGAGATTGTTGTCTTGAGTCCTCCTTCCCATGGGCAGAACTGAATTAGATATCCACATACCAAACAGGTACTTTAGGGGACCTCATAGGCTCTTAATAGGCATCACCAGAAAACACTGTTTCTGTATAACCTAACCTGTCTTAATTAAATGCGCTCAGTAGAGCACTTGGCATTTAATTCGTGCTCAATAGTGCTTGCTGCTATTATAATCATTAGCTTACTAGACATTATATTATTTTCTCTACTTCTAGGTTCCGCTGGCACCTTTTGAAACCTTGAACAGGAGGCTTGGGAATCAGGATCTTCAAAGTGGTCCTCATCTGGGTTCCGTGTGTCGACAGTAGCTCTGATGAGATTACGAGAATGTTGAGTCTGCTGAGACAATTCCCCTGGCACTTCATGCCCTAACATTGAGACAGTTCTGGAAAAACCAACAGAGCTCACCTTGCTGCAAGGTGGAGTTACTGGCCATCTGCTGGGGGTGGTGGTGGCGGCGGGGAGTCAGGGTGGCCTGAATAGGGCCTTGCAACATCTCCCTAATTTTACAGCTAATGTCTGAAATTCTTGTATAGGTGATCAAGCCCTTACAAGATTGAGAATATGAGTATTGAAGAGAGAAGCAAGGCGATTATTTAAATTCATCCTGTAGTATAGATGGTTGGCTTGATATTTTCCTTTCAAGTACATTTTAACAAGGAAGGAGAAAAGAATATAAAGATGCTGACACTTGAAGAGAATAAAGGGTGACAGACTGACAGATGGGCTGACTTACAAAGGGGGAAGAGACCCTAAAGACCAACTACTACAGTCTTCATATCCATAATTACTCATTTTTCAGATGAGAAAACTGGGGCAGTTTAATGTAGCGATGTGCTCAGTGTTAGAACAGGGTTAGGACCTAGGAGTCTGGGGTGTTGGCTCCTGCCACAGGGTCTTCCCATTCCACTGGTGGATACAACACTATAGCAGACGGGCCAGGTGAATTTCCTTCTCCTTCCAGTTTGGTTTGGGCCATATCTGCAAATCAGGTCTTCAGCCCATCTTCCTTTCAGTGGGTGGCCGTTCAGAGGGTCCCAGAGCTGGGTATGTTCCTGGTGGGTTCACTCACCTGTGGCCGCTTCCACTCCAGGCCAAAGAGTTTTTTCCCCTGGAGCAGCTTCTGGCCTATGGAAGAAGCCATGGCAGGGAATGTCTCATCCTCAAACAGCTGGCCCCTGCTTAGGCAATGATCTCGCAAGGAGTTAAAGTCCTGATCCTTGAACTTGAGGATGGAGGTCTCCGCTGGAGGCTCCTGGTTATATGCCATGACTCTCCTTAGAAGACTTCTGAGGCCCTTTCCTGCTGGAAAGAAATAGGGGTATTTTTAGGAGTGAGCCATCAAGTCATTTGCATCACCAAATGTGAGCCCAGAAGGGCATTCTGATGTCTCCCCCCTCCTTTATAAATGGGGAGACTGAGACCCAGACCTGCGCTGGCCCAGGTGACAGAGCTGGTTGGTGGGTGAGCCTGAGTGAGAATTCAGACATCCTTATCCCAGTTCAGTTTTGAACCTAGGGCACCAAACAGCTTCTCGGCATGCTCGTTTGTGCATGAGAGGCCATGGGGGTATTTGTACATTTAATGAACATTTATTGAGCAGTGACCCTGGGCCAGGCACTCTTCTGACCACTGGCAGTCCTAAGACAAATATGATATGGTATTCACCCCCTAGGGGTTCATTATCAAGCAGGAAAGATAGATTAGACGTTTCAACCACTAGCTATCATTCAACAAAAACCGTTCAGTTAAAGGTGCATACCAAGGACTGTGGGTGTAAAGAGGAGGAGCTATGAACTGCCACAGAGTCTGGGGTGACTCCCACAGGTGGTGACCTTTGAGTTGGGCCTTGAAGGAAGAAGAATGTGCCAGGTAGAGAACTAGTGGGTAGATTTTTAATGTGTCTGCAGGTGCCCTGAGTAGCAAGTGCGTGGAAGCCCAGGAGCTGGATCGGGAAGGCCACAGGGTATTGGAGAGAACGGGGAAGGGCTGGAGTTAGGGAGTGTTGGCAGATGGCCAGAAACGTGGGCTGGAGAGCTGGACTATGAAATATTTTATACCCTGCAAGCACTGCAGGGACATTGAAGAGGTGGGCATGATCCGACCCACATGTAGCATGGTGCTGCTGGGAGTGAGTTGGGGGCCAGCTGGGGTGGATGGACAGGGATTGGAGGTGGGGAGGAGGCTGGGAGGCTGCTGCATTTGTCCCTGGGGGCAATGGTGGTAGAACATCAGTAGTGAACATGGCAGAGTGGAGACAGGTGCCGGTGTCATCTTATAGGTGACAAATTGAATGTGGGGGGCGGGAGCAGAAAAGAGAAAAGGCAGTGTGGTGAATGGTCAACTGAGTCTTGAAGTTCGCTTTCTGCTTTCGTCACCCACTTACCAGTTCTGCGATACTGAGCAGGTATTCAAGCCTGTGAACCTCTCTCTCCATCAGTGTGGATTGATACCAACCACATAGGGTTCGTTGTGGTATTAAATGAGTGTTGACCTAACAAACCGAGCAGAGTGGCTGGCATACAATAGTCATTCGATAAATATTAGTATCCTAATTTCCCTAAAGAGAAGTCAAGGAAGGCTGGAGTTCCTTGTTCAGGAAGCCATAGGAGTGTAACTGATGCCATTTACCAAAAATGTATCACATACTCCATCTGTGAGTCTGGTCTAGACCTGAATTCTGAATCCACAATTGCTAGTTTGGGGACTTGAAACACCTCCCAAGCCCTTCAAGTAGTGCTGTTCAAGGTTCTTTGACCAGGGTCTGTTTAGGTGGCACAAAAGACTCCGAGATCTGCGTGTTCTACCCGTTCCCACTTCACAGTAGAAAAAGAATCAGGTGATAAAGAAACAGAGAAGAATACAAATGAATGACTTATAAGGAAAGAATATGAGCTTGCAATCAAGATTTGAATCCTAGAAAAATATAAGCAAACTTAAGATAACTTAGCAATTTTCTTACCGTTACCTTATAATAACATGTGGCAAATTACTTTGATAGCACAAATTCATAGGCAGAATATCACCAATGAAGTGTCATTGGGTAAGCATATTTGGAGGGAATTGTACACACGATTATCTTGCAAACAAGATACAAATAATTTACATTGGAACTATTAGATTAGACTACACAAAACTGCCATTTTTATAGATCAGAAGTGGCTAGAGTCAGTTTCATATGGTTAAACCTAGGGTAGAAAATGGTTAAATACAGACAGTTTCATTTGATTTAACCTAATATTTCTTCAATCTAGGTTTTGAAAAATAACAGGCCAAAATATTCAATATGCCTCACTACTTACAATAGGGTTAACAGAGAGTCCACAACAAATTAAGTAAATAGTGACAAAGCTAAAATAACTGCAAGGTATCATTCCAGAGAAAAATAGTGACAGAAATTAATTGTCAACTCAAAGCAAAGGCACCAACACCTGAAAATAAAGAGCTGTGACAATAGGGGGCTACCAACTCTCTGCATGTGCTTGGGGACAGTGGAAGCAATTTAGCATCACCCAGCCTCCTACCTGTCAGTAAAATATTGAATTAGAGTGTGTGATAAACTCCAGCAATGAGCTAATTTTAGTGTATGGAAACCAAATTGTAGTTACCCTTAATAACACAATTATGGGATTGTTAGTCAGCAGCCTTTAATTGTATGTAAAAATGAAAGTCTAAAGAATTTCGCTTCATTTATCCATCAGAATCATACAAAGGCCTTACATTTTGGGATCAGTTCTCAGCCCATCTGTTGGGCCCCCACTGCCCACTATTGGGTGGTGGACTGGCCAGATTTTAGGAATTCCCATTCTAAGATTCACTTCCCTTATTTGTGAAATGGAGATGATAATAATAGTATGTGCGTCGTGGGGTTGTGAGACACTGATGAAACCATGCTTGCAGAACTCTTAGCACAGTGACTGGTAAATAGAAGACGGTCAATAAATAATGGTTATTAGGACAATGATCATTATCATTTTGAACCCAATAGGACTGTGCAGAGGCCTGACACCATCTGAGACAAGGATTTGCTCCTATTCACGGACAAGCTAGGCTCAGAGGGGCCTGAGGGGTGAGCCAAGTAGGCAGTCAGACCTCAGGACAGGGGCTGCTCAGGCCCAGGAGGGAAGGGAAAGGTGCAGGCTGGGTGACTGCTGCTGGAGGAGGTGGGCTGCTCTGGGAAGAGAACCTTGATGGGGAAGAGAGGCAGGCAGGGGAAGCTTGCTCGGCTTACACACACACACACACACACACACACACACACACACACACGTCACCCCTACCAGGTTTTCCTTCTTCCTCTCCAAATTGCTTGCGGCCCAGGGAACAGGCTGCAGGCACCTTTTTTCAGAAAGGGTCTACAGACCCTGAAAACATTTCACTTTTATGTGCAGCAGAAAGACCAACAATTTTCCTCCTTGTCATTTTTTAGAGGGCTCTTTGGTTTCATTCCTCTCTACCCTATTTGCAGGATATACAAAGGCAGAAGAAGACTCAGCTTTGCTAATTAAAGGCAAAAAAAGAGTGAGCAGAAAGGCCTACCTGATATTCAGGTTAAATAAAGTCTGTCTTGCTGCTGGGGTATTTCTTGAGTGTAGCAAGAAAAATGGCAAAAATTTTGATATAAAGTTCTTCACGTGAGAACTGTGCAAGGTAAAGAATCAAGCTTCAGAACTAGGCTGGGAAGGCGGCAGGAGGTGCCGTGGGGGCTATGAAGCCTTCTCTTCTGCTCCTCCCAGAGTCTATGAAACGAGCCTAATTCAGACCTTCCCTGTGTCCTCTGCTGGGCTAGGTGACTGTCTTAGTTGGCTCAGGCTGCCATAACAAAATGCCACAGACTGGGGGGCTAAACAACAGGATTTATTTTCTCAAAGTTCCGGAAGCTGAAAGTCTGAGATCAGGGTGCCAGCAGGGTTGGGTTCTAGGGAGGGCTCTTCCTGTCTCACATCCTCACATGGCAGGGAGAGAGAGAGAAAGAGAGAGAGAGAGAGAGAGAGAAAGAGAGAGATCTCCCTCTTCCTCTTCCTCTAATGCCACAGTCCTATCAGATGAGGGCCCCACTCTTCTGACCTCTTTTAACCTTAATTACCTTCTGAAGATCCTGTCTCCAGATACAATCACATCGTGTGTGTGTGTGGGGGGGGGTATTAGAGATTTTTATGAATTTGGGGGAACACAATTCAGGCCATAGCAGCGACCCAATAACTCTCCTGGCCCTTCTGTGTATTTCAGGGAGTCTGCAGATCAAAGGGGAATGGAAGCATATCAACAAGGACCTTGGAGAGTAGGTGCAGGATGCCAACAACATGAGAAAAAGTGACCTGGCAGCACCTAACAGTGCTGAGTACATAAACATTATTTGAGTTAATGCAAAGATAATGAGGGCTCCTTAATGGCAGAAATGCCTTCGATACCACTAAAACATACTAAAATGTCTTAGCAGTATCTTTGATCTGCCAGAAACTAGTGCCAGGCTTGGCACATAGTAGGTCTACAATAAATTTCTCATGAGTTTTGGCAGAATGAATATCACATATCAGCTATTTTCAGGAATGTTCTGTGGAGTAGGAACTTCATGAATGCTCCACAAATAACAGATTGCAAAGTCAAATTGTTTTGTAAACTATTTCATATTGAATAGTCTCTATGGAGATTCACAAAAGGCTTCAAGAAGTCCTTCAATAATGAAACTTAAGTTTGCTTCCAGTGTCTCTCATATATAACCAGCAAGTCTTTTTACTGAAGAATTCTTATTAACATATCATGGAAAAAACATACCCAAGTTGAATGACTTCAGAACATTCTGACTCAAGTTCTCATTCGGCCCCTTATTAGCCCTATAATCCTGAGGGAGTTTTCTAGGCACTCAGTACCTCAGTCTCCTATTCTGTCAAATGGGAACAATGATACTTTGTTGAACAACAAATTAGAAAACATGTGAGAAGAGATTTAAACTATAAAGCATTATACAAAGGTACTAATTATCATTTATTTCTCTGACTCTAATCTTGTTCTAATCTTTCTTGCCTTTCTCCCACTCAGAAATGAATAGTTGTGAGAATACACAGGTGGATTATCTAAATTACTTCTGCCTGGACAAAGGACAAGGGCATTTTTTGTCCTAGTTTCCCCTTTGCCCCCGACCATGTGTTGTTCTTCTACATGAAAATTCACAGGCTGGATTCAATAACAGTAGGATATTTAGGCAAAACCCAAATATTTGGAATTAAACACACTTCTAAATAATTCCAGTCAAAGATGGTATCATGAGAA